TATCACATTGATTGATTTGCATGTATTGAAGAATCCTTGCATTCCTGGGATAAACCCCACTTGATCATGGTGTATGATCCTTTTAATGTGGCATCAACACTTTTTTAAAGACTTGGACAGTATTGGTACAGGGAGCAAAGGCATAAAAGTGGAAATGGCATGGTGCTTTCAGGAACCTGCCAGTATAGTTCCATATGGTCAGAACTCAGACTTCAAGGGAAGGCATAGTGAGAAATGGGACTAAGAGGCAAGCTATGGCCAGAGCATTGCATGCCAAGCTAAAGAGTGTGGAAATAAAAGTTATTCATCTTCCCCCTGGTCAGGGAAATTCTGCATGCCATGAGGTGTGGCGAAAAAAAAAAAGTTATTTGTCTTCCATTTTAATTCAGTTTTGGTTAAAATTATAATAAAATATTGATCATATCTATATTTGATGAGAAGCCTTGGGAGTGAATAATATTGTTGAAACAAATTGAAAATTTGAAGTACTCCTGTGCGTTATTTTCCTCCTCAATAAAATAAAAGAAGATTAATGTTCTGTTGACAGAAGAGCATCATAAACAAAGGGAGACTATCTAGGTGGAGCCAAGGTCATATTTCAGTTTATGATAGGTTTTATCACTTGTTATCATCAACTACTGAAAAGTAATAAAGAGTACCCTCATATTTATTTAAATGACAAAGTTTTAGTTTAATCTCACAGGAATGATTCTTTTAACCACAAAGCAAATGATGACTTCAAAGCTGATAAAACATGTGTTACAGGATATTGCAACTGTTTTTTAATCTATATGATGGATATAATATATGAAATTGAATTTCTCACCTAAGCTATAAATGAACCTAGCAGATTTTTGATAAATAACCTGCCAATATACATATTGTATAGGTTTTCTTGTTAATCAAAAAGCTATACACTGTTGGGATCTAGCTTCCTGCTTGCAGACTGCTTAAAATAAAGGATGGCAGATTCAGATCAAAACACAGTGTCAAACCTTGTTCCTCCACAGGAATTCAGATTTGTCTGAAGAGAGTGGGGAGTCTTGGAAGGCTTTTAATAAGGGGAGAAACATAATCAGAATTGTGTTTTAGAAATAAACTCTGGAGCCCTGTAAAGGGCAAATAGAGGGGAAAGAGCAAACAGAGGCAGAGTAATCCCAAGAAACTGTTGCTGGAATCCAGGGCACAAGTACGTGTGGCCTGCAGTAAGGCAGTAAAGTAGAGATGGTTGTGATTGTGTGGACGTAAGTGACTTAAGAGATATTACTAAGGATTAATATTGATTGGATGTGGGGGATGAGGAAGTGGTCTAGGATGATTTCCCAGGTTTCAGAATTGGGCAACTGGTTGGAAGGGGTTGTTCGGCACCTAGTGAGCAATCATTAAATGTGTTGAGTATTTGTTGAATACATGTAGGGATAGGGAATAATGTGAAAATAATGAGGAGGATCAGATTGCACTGAATCATTATTATTTCAGTTTTGAAAAGTTGAGTTTGAGTTGCTACTGTGATACTCCCTAAGCTCTCTATGCTTTTCTTTCATAGCCCTCATCACAGTGTGTAATAATATATTTATTTGTGGGAATATATATTTGATGTTTATTTTTCCTCCTAAAATAATAAGTTCTAAGATTTCAAATATCATGTCTATTTTACTCACCTCTTTTAGCTTCAGTAACTAGCATTGGACCTAGCACATAGTAGGGACTCTATGTTTATGGAATGAATGGATGAATTCAAGTGGAAGATGCCCAGTAGGTAGTTGGATATGAGTAGCTAGATGTCAGGAGAGGTCTTGACTGAAGGCAGAGATTTGCAAGTCATTAGAACTCAGATCAGGGTTGAAGCTGATGATGACTGAGGTCCCCAAACAAGGAGGGTGTGTACAATGGGAAGAGAGGAAGGGCCAGGATAGAACTCCTAAAGATATTGACTTTAAAAATTGGGTAGAGGAAGAGAAACCAGCAAAAGACAATGAGAACAAATAGGAATAGAAGCAGGAGAGCTAGGAGAGTGTGATTTCATAGGAGCCAAGCCAACTCCTGAGAGTTGTGAAAGGGCGCTGAAGGATTCTGATACCAGTCCCATTGTGGGGCATGGGTGTGTTTCCCCACACATCCAAACCAATTCTTTGGATTCCAGCCTAAGTTTCCTATAGTTCAACTCAATTCTGGCACTATCTATCCAGAGATAGTGTCAGATTCCACAGGTTAAGGGTTCAGTCCCACAAGACTCCCCCGCCCTCTTCAGATGCCAGTTGCAAGCCCAGGTTGTTACCTGTGCTTCTGACTGACTGGCTTTAAATCGAAGGTTCCCACAACTCCCTCCTTGGGTTTGATTAATTTGCTAGAGCGGGTTAGGACACGAAGCAGCTGCAGCTCTTTTTTTTTTAACATCTTTATTGGAATATAATTGCTTTACAAGGGTGTGTTAGTTTCTGCTGTACAACAGAGTGAATCAACTATACATATACATATATCCCCACATCTCCTCCCTCTTGCGTCTCCCTCCCACCCTCTCTATCCCACCCCTCTAGTTGGACACAAAGCACCGAGCTGATCTCCCTGTGCTATGCAGCTGCTTCCCACTAGCTATCTATTTTACATTTGGTAGTGTATATATGTCCATGCCTCTCTCTCACTTCGTCCCAGCTTCCCCTTCCCCCTCCCCGTGTCCTCAAGTCCATCCTCTGTCTGCGACTTTATTCCTGTCCAGCTGCAGCTCTTTTGGAAAGGTATCTGACAGCATTAAGGCTGAGAGCCCCAGTTTGCAGAAGCTGATCTCAGGTTGGCAGTCTAAATGGGGACTCTGCTTCCCCGCTCCCTGACTCCAGCAGAGGCTCCAACTTACTCAGAGGATGGGGGCTTTCCACTTTTAATTTTGGCTGTAACAGATCTGATTCTCCAGTTGAGCAAGAATGACACTGGTGAGAACTGTGGGCTTGGCACAAAGGAGTGGAGCAGCCTGGACTCTGACCACAAGAGGGCGGTGTTGTGAAGGAGGTGAGGAAGCGGAGGGTGGGCAGCGTTGGGGAAAGGAAAGGAGCCCTGCCCAGTGGGAATTCATGAAGTCCTCTGAAGTCTCTAGGACGGGACTCTTCCTGAGCAAATTGTGTGTGTGTGTGTGTGTGTGTGTGTGTGTGTGTGTGTGTGTGTGTGTGTGTGTGTGTGTGTGTGTATGTTGGCTTGGGGATAAGATCTGTTTGGAGAAAGGATTTTTAAAAATAAATTTATTTATTTATTTATTTTTGGCTGTGTTGGGTCAGGTCTTCGTTGCTGCGTGGACTTTCTCTAGTTGCGGCGAGTGGTGGCTTCTCTTGTTGCAGACCACGGGCTATAGGCGTGTGGGCTTCAGTAGTTGTGGCACGCAGGCTCAGTAGTTGTGGCTCACAGGCTCTAGAGCACAGGCTCAGTAGTTGTGGCACACGGGCTTAGTTGCTCCACAGCATGTGGGATCTTCCCAGACCAGGGCTTGAACCCATGTCCCCTGCATTGGCAGGCGGATTCTTTTTTTTTTTTTTGGCAGGCGGATTCTTAACCACTGCGCCACCAGGGAAGTCCTGAGAAAGATGTTTTCAAAAAAAATTTTTTTTCAGTTAAAAAAATATATTTTTTAAAGATCTTGATTATGGTTTTTAATTTTCTTAAAAGACCCTTCAACTGTGATTTCTGAAAGAAATTTCATTGCCATTGTGTTCTCTGCTTTTTTGATCTTTATCCTTTTGGAGTTTGAGAAAGTGTTGTTTAGAAGTTGAGAGTGATTTTATACTTATAAATAGGACCTCCTGGGTATACTCTGTAAATTGGAATTCTTGATAGTGTAGAAAACCAGCTCTTTTATGATAATGCTGGGAGCTGTGGGGTAAGTTTGTGAACTTTTGGGTAAGCAAGAGCGGCCTTATATAATTAAGCCCTGAGAACTGTGTTGCTGAAGCTCTGTGGCCTAGTTTGTGTCCTGCCCTAACCCTACCCCCATCTCCTACTGTGATCAAGCTCTTTGCAGTGGGAGTGGCGAAACTGTTTTTCCTTTCCTTTTTTTAACCCACATGACCAGTAAACAAGGGTTTAATAGTCCCATTATTCCTTCTCACTTGTTACATTTCTAATCCTGTGGAGAACAGAGAAGAAGTAAAATTCCAAAGGTAGGTGAAATCTGATGTACATTCCCAAACAAGAATTCCTCAGGTAACATTTTTCCTTTCTCTTTGTGGAATCTCATATACTGATATGAAATGAAGTATGATATATATATACATATGTGTGTGTGTGTATATATATACATTTACTATATTTCATATATATCATATTTCATATATGTGTGTGTATATATATATATATATATATATTTATGCCAGTACAAGGCATCAGCTGCTGGAGTATTTGCTAATTTTTTCCCACTTGGCAGAGGGATTGAGTCAGCTTTTGGGATGAGACTGAGGTTGGAAAATCTGTTAAGTTTTGTGCTTGGACAATGTAGCATCTTCAAAAAGAGTTTGAGGTAACTTATAGTAAAAGACATATATACAAAAAAGTTATTAAAATGCAAATGGAAACTTAAAAAGAAATAGAAAATCAAAGTGATGAAAGAGAGGAGAGAAGAAAAAAATGCTGTCTACAAGGACTAATAGAATTACTATGATTGAATATTAAATTTGGCCTTAAACTTCTAAGATAATATACAGAACCAGATAATTTAAAAATAATCAATAGTATACTATTTACTTAGACAAGACAAAATCTTTCCTGGTACTAAATGCATGACAGGATTTATCATGTGGGATCTTGCACAGTGTATAGATGCACAGTGTTCTTGATAAGAATTTTATAACAAACACAGAAGTGATTTTCTTCACACTGTTTCTTTTCTTCTTCTCTTTTTAATAAAAGCGGTACTTTTATTTTCCTAATTTGAGTTGAGAACACACAGGTGGATGGTTCAATGAATTTTCACAAAATTAGTACTTCTGTTAACAGCCACACAGGTCAAGTAATAGAACATTATGAGCACTGTAAACAACTCACTAATACCTTTCTCAGTCGTGGACCCCTACCTCCTCCCCAAAGGTAACCAGTAATCTTTTGTAGCAACCTAGATTAGTTTTGTCTCTTTAAAACTTTGTGTAGATGGAATAATATGGTATGTGTTCTTTTGTGTCACAATATTATGTTTATGAGATTCATTCATGTAATTGTGTGTAGCTATAGTTTGTTTTTGTCACCGTATAGCATTCCATTACATGAACATATCTCAACTTATTTATCCATTCTACTCTTTGTGCATGTTTGGGTTGTTTCCAGCTTTTGGCTATCACAAATAATGCTGCTGCAAACCCATCTTATGGTGCACATATTTTGTTGTTGTTGTTAAATACCTAAAATGGAATCTATGGGTATAGGGAAGGTGGATCTTTATCTTCAGTAGATAATGACAAACTGTTTTTTTCAGATTGATTGAATAAATTTACTCTTTCAATAGCAGTGCTTGATTGTTCTTGCCAACACTTGACATTGTCAGCCTTTTTCAGTTAAAACATTATGGTGGGTGCATAGTGGCATCTAACTGTGATAAACAATTGTTGGCTTGAGTATGTCAACTGAAAGAAAAACACACAGTGTAAGAGCTGTGAGTTGAATTTATTCAAGGTCTTACTGAGGACTATAGCCTGGGAGACAGCCTCTCAGATAGCTCTGAGGAACTGCTCAAAAGCGGTAGGGGGGGAGAAGCCAGTATATGTAATGATTTTGGCTAGGGAATGTGTGCAGTCAAGCATACAACTTGATAAAAGGTTACTACTAATCATGAGGATCAGGTATCTTAGTTAATGATTTTAGTGCTTTTCTCTGTATGAGAAGATGCAAGAATCTGGGTTCATTAAAATTTTCCCCCCTAAGATATCTCTGTCTATCTAAGGCATCTGTTTTTCCAAAGCATAGAGTGCCTTATCACATTTTTCATCCTGAATTCTTTTCAGGGTGTACTGCCGGTCAGTGACTGCAGAGGCTAATGACTGGATCCTTGTAGAACTGGATGGTGGGCAATATTCTTTGTTTTAAAGTAACACCTAGTCTGTATGCCCAATGAGAGAACAAAGAATGTCACGATGGATCTATCGGTCCATGAATCCATGTGCTGTTTATAGACTCACTCTTAGGATCAGTGACTAGACTGTTTGGAGCTTAAAGACAAGCCCAGGTCTGAAGATTTGAAAGAAGGGAATAAAAGCTATTCTTTACTTTGCCATGTGCTATAGTGCGGAGAGAGAAGTCCTCTGCTTGAGGCTGAAGAAAGTCAGGGTGAACCAGTATGGCCCAACGTCGTGATAAAAAGCAGATAGAAATGACTAAGGATGTTGCTATACCTGGAGTTGCACATATTGTGAAAAAGTGGAAGTGGTAGGGCTCAGGGAGAAAGGCCCAGAATGGCAATAATAAAACAACCACCACCAAAATAGTGCTAATAATATCTAACAATTACATAGTGCTTTACACACATTAGCTCATTTAACTCTCCCAACAAATCACTGAAGGGTTCTTTTCCCATTTTGAAGATGAGCACACAGGTAGAGAGGTTAATTCACTTGCCCAAGGCCACACAACAAGTAAATGGTAAAGCCTGATTTGAACCCAAGTAATCTGGCTTCAGAATCCATGCTCATATTTCTATGTTATCCACAAAGTCAGGGTTGGGGGCAGGGGAACTCATGCAGAGAGATTCTTGGAAAGGAATAAAAGGAAAAGTAGGCAGGGAATTAGCCAAGTAGTCTCATTGGTATCATAACAGACTCCAGAAAAAGTGTTCTGAGAAATGGAATATGTTCTTCACTGTTGCTGAAGAGGAAAGTCATGGAAGCCTGAAACACCTCCAGGTTTGGATATGAGAGTCTTCAGCACACCCCAAGCACAATGACTAGGTGGGGAAGCCCAGTTTAGCAGAGAGCCTAAAGCACTGAGGATTGCCAGTCTCCCTAGGACTTTCCCTTGGTTTTCCCTTTCATTTTCACACCCGTGTCAGGTCTTTTTGGTTGCTCTACTGAGAGTCAGATGACATAGTATCATGGCTAGTTTCTGTTGGGTTTCCAGGTTGTAGAGAAACCAATCAGGGGTAGTAGTCAATATTAACATTTCTAATATTCATACCAATGGCTTGTGACCCTATGTTCACCCCAGATTCCAAGGCAACCAGAGAGGTCAATTCATGGGGCCCCAAAGCTTCCTGCTTCCTCTCTGGGGCCCTGTCACTGACCGACACCTGGGCTGGTGAGTGTGGGATCTGGAGACTGATGATGGGGAGGGAGGAACAAAGAAGCGACACCCTGGTGGGTGCTTAGGCAGAGATTAAGCCATCTCTGCTTCCTCCTGGAGCCCCTGGACACTTCCTACTTCTCCACACCTTTTTATACCTTTCTTTCCTCTTCCCCTAGACTCTACTTTTTTCCCCATACTTACATTGCCCCATCCACAAAAATAAATACCCTTCCCTTGGAGAAGAGCTCACTCTGCTAAGTGGGGAGAGCAGAAAGGGAATCTCAGGCTGGGGGATGGCCAGATGACCTCTATAGTTCATTGTAGATAGTCCCAGGATGAAATGTCCAAGACAGAATGGGCCAATGACTTCACTGTTGGTAAAGAAAAGTCTCAGGGGAAACACCTACAGAGTCATGTTTGGATTTGAGCATCTTCATCCCAAGGAGGTGGCTCAGTGAAGACACCTGCTAAGCAGAGCTCAGCTCTCAGTATTGCCCATCTCTCTGAGGCTTCTCTCAGGCTTTCCCTTTCTTTCTCCCAACCTCCTTCAGGTGGTTCTAGTTGTTCAGCCTCAGGACTGATGACACAGGTGGATTTTCCCCCCATCTTTGCAAACACTTGTTATCTCTTGTCTTTTTGATAACAGCCATTCTAACATGAAGTGATAGGTTTGATTTGCATTTCCCTGATGATTAGTGATGTTGAGCATCTTTTCATGTACCTGTTGGTCATTTATATGACTTCTTTGGAAAAATGTCCATTCAGATCCTCTGCCCGCTTTTTAATTGGATTTTTTTTTTGCTATTGAGTTTTATGAGTTCCTTATATATTTTGGATATTAACTCCTTAACAGATATATGGTTTGCAGATATTTTCTCTCATTCTATAGGTTGCCTTTTCAGTTCACTGATTGTTTCATTGTGCAGAAACTTTCTAGTCTGATTTCCCACTTATTTTTGCCTTTATTGCTTTTGCTTTTGGTATCATATCCAAAAACATTGTTGCCAAGACCAATGTCAGGGAATTTTTCCCTGTGTTTTCTTTTAGGAGTTTTATGGTTTCAGGTGTTACATTTAAATCTTTAATCCATTTTGAATTAATTTCTGTGAGTCGTGAAAATAAGGTCCAATTTCCTTCTTTTACGTGTGAATATTCCACCACCATTTATTGAGGAGATATCCTTTCCCCACTGGCTTCTTTATCAAATATTAGTTGACCATATATGTGTGGGTTTATTTCTGGGCTCTTGATTCTGTTCCATTGGTCAATGTGTCTATTTTTATGCCAGTACTATATTGCTTTGATTACTGTAGCTTTGTAGTGTAGTTTGAATTCAGGAATTGTGAAGTCCCCAGCTTTATTCTTCTTTCTCAGAATTGCATTACTTGTTCAGGGTCTCTTGTGGTTCCATAAGAATTTTAGGATTGTTTTTTCTATTTCTGTGAAAAATGCCATTGGAATTTTGATAGGGATCATATTGAATCTATAGATGGTTTGGGTAGTATGGACATTTAACAATATGAATTCTTGGGACTTCCCTGGTGACACAGTGGTTAAGAATCCACCTGCCAATGCATGGGACATGGGTTCAAGCCCTGGTCCGGAAAGATCCCACATTGCCACAGAGCAACTAAGCCCGTGTGCCACAACTACTGAGCCTGCGGTCTAGAGCCCGCGATCCACAACTACTGAAACCCACGCTCCTAGAGCCCGTGCTCCACAACAAGAGAAGCCACCGCAATGAGAAGCCCTCACACCACAACGAAGAGTAGCCCCCGCTCACTGCAACTAGAGAAAGCCCATGTGCAGCAATGAAGATCCAACATAGCCATAAATAAATAAATAAAATTAAAAGAAAAAAACCCAAAAAATAATATGAATTGTTCTGATTTATGAATATGGGATATCTTTCCATTTGTCTGTGTCTTCTACAGTTTCTTTAGTCAAGTCTTGTAGTTTTCAGTGTATAGTTCTTTCACCTCCTTGGTAAATTATTCCTAAGTATTTTATTGTTTTTGATACTATGGCAAATAGAAATTTTCTTTTTCTTTTTCAGATAGTTCATTGTTAGTGTATAGAAATGCAACAGATTTTTTGTGTGTTTACTTTTTTTAAACCTGAAACTTTACTGAATTATTTCATTAGTTCTAACAGATTTTTGTGGAGTGTTTAGCATTTTCTATGTACAAGACCATATTATCTGCAAATGGAGACAATTTTACTTCTTCCTTTCTGATTTGGATGCCTTTTATTCTTTCTCATTCCTGATTGCTCTAGCTAGGGCTTCTAGTACTACATTGAATAGGAGTGGTGAGAGTGGACACCTTATCTTGTTCCTGATCTTAGAGGAAAAAGCCTTCAGTCTTTAACCATTGAGTATGATGTTAGCTGTGGGCTTGTCATATATGGCCTTTATTATGTTGAAGCATGTTCCTTCTATACCCAATTTGTTGAGAGTTTTCATCCTGAAAGGATGTTGAATTTTGTCAAATGCTTTTTCTGCATCTATTGAGATGATCATATGATTTTAATCTTTCATTCTGTTAATGTGCTATATCACATTTATTGATACATTCTTGTGTATATTCAACCATCCTTGCATCTCAGGGATTTTAAACTGGGAATTTTCCTAGGACTATCCCATCTAATTACTAGGTCCTAGGACATCTGCCTCTTGCATATTTCAAATTCTTCCCTTCCTGCTCATACCTGTTTCATGTTCAACTCTTCTGCCTCCTGTCTGTCTTTGCTCAGATGTTGCTTTCTCAGTGAGGCCTACTCTGATCACCATATTTAATGCTGCAAACTGCCCCCCCTTC